CCCGGCCTGGCTCCTTGGCCCCAGTTCTGAGGACTTGAGTACCTGGGCAGAGTGAGGGGGTATCCTGGTATACGAACAGTACTTAACTGAATTTGAGCCAAAAACTAGAAGTCTTTCGTTTTATCACTTGAAGAGCTTCCTCGCTTCTAACAGCCTTAAATCATAGACGAGTCACATTTCCAGAGTCTGCAATTACTGGTTTTAAAACTGCAAGAAACAGGTGAATCCCACAGGTGGGGGCTGGCTGGAGGTGTGGGTGGGAGTGGGGGGTGATTCAGAGCAGCCCCAGGGATGCTTTGGCTGTTTTTCTCCCCAGCCAGGTGGCTGTTGGGAAGGCTTTCCTGCCAAGGGAACTATCTGTTGGGTCGCCATTAATGTTTCCCCATCTGTGTTCCTCAGAGCACCCTGCCCGTCAGGGGTCTGATGGCTTCAAACGCCCAAACGCGGCCACGCTGAGCAGACGGCGCACGTACGGAGCCTGGGCGCTGGGGAACCTGGGGTGTCAGTGGGTTCGGAATCCAGCCTGGCTCAGGGACCCCCGGGGTGGGGAGTCTGAATGAAGGTCCCTTCGCTTCGGCTCGCCGTGTCTCCTTGCGGGCTCTGCCCTCCGTTTCCCACGCGTACCGGGCGACCGGAGCAGAGGCTCTGAGGACTCGGTGGGGTGGTTCCGTGACAAGGTCACCCCGGCAGAAGTGAGGTCGGAGTGATGAGTGGGCCGGGTGGCAGGGCGTCACCTGCACGGCCTCAGATGCCAGGCGGGGGGCTCCGAGCCTTACTGTGTGAGGCAGTGAGGAGCTGGCACTCAAGGCCCTGCCTCCCCATCACCCAGAAACCCTGTACCGCCCCCTTGGGGCCTCTGTCCTCCTTCAAGTGTCCCAGGGCACCAGGGCCTGCCCAGCGGCCTCTCCGAGCTCCCGGGTGACTCATGGCGGAAACGCCGGGCGTCGGGCCAGGCCCTGGAGCCCCTCGGCCTGGACCTTGCCTCCCTGCCAGGCTCCTTCCCCACGGCCTGTGATCTGGTTCAGCTTCAGGGCTGCTGCCTTTGATCCCTGGGCCCGTGGGGAGCATGTCAGGAACCTCGGGCAGCGATGCCAGCTCTGGCCTGACTTCTGAGCCTCACGGGCTCTTGGAAAGGGCCCAGGCTCTGCCATCTGGGATTTCCCTGAGCGCCTCAGGGCCAGCCTGAGACTGTCCGTCCCTGCGTGTCTGCTGCTGAGCAATCTAGAGGTGAAAGCCGATCCATCTGGCCCCTTGAGGGGCTCGGTGCCGAGGGCGAGTTGGACGAACGACAGAGACAGCTGCGGGCACCACCGAGTCAGACCGCGTGGGCTGCCCGCGGACTGTGTGGCCTTGGGCAGGTCACTCCAGCTGTCCAGGCCTGTTTCCTCCCCTGTCCCTAGCGGGTGTGGTGACAGCTGGGGCCATGTCCCTAGAGGTTACTGTCAAGTTCATGACTATGATACCAGCTAGACCATGTGAGCAGGGAGCACTGACAGAGAGGAGGCTGGACCATGGCCCTGTGAGTGGTGAGAGGTGCTTTAAGAGGTGAACTGGGCTGTGAAGGATGAGTAGGAGTTTGCCTGGGGGATATGGTAGAGGGAAGGGAACGTGCATGCAGGGTATGTTTGGGAACAGCAAGTTCACTGCAGCCCGGCCGGCATGGCTCAGTGGTTGAGTGTAGACCTCGGAACCAGGAGGTCACGGTTTGATTCCTGGTCAGGGCACATGCCGGGTTGCGTGCTTGGTCCCCAGTGTGGGGTGTGCAGGAGGCAGCCAATCATATATATATATATATATGTATATACAGTTCAGTGCACGCCAAGGCCAGAGGGAGGTGGTCACAGGAATTCGCTAAGACCAGTCTAGGGGCCTTGGCTGTCCAGCTGAGGAGGGTGCGGGGAACCATGGCAGGCTTCTGAACGGGGAGAGGCACCAGAGCCGTTCAGGCAGATTAATCGGGCAGCATAGCGCAGGGACAAGAAAAGCAGGCTCTGGTTTGGCGTTCCAGCTCTGCCTTTTCCCAGCTGGTGACCTTGGGCAAATCACACTCCGCTTTCTGTCTCCATTTCCTCATTTGTAAAAATAGTGCTGCAAGGATGAAAGGAGTTAACACTTGCGAAGCGCTCTGACAGGGTGGGCACACAGTGGGCCTGGTGACTGTGTGGGACAGATCAGAAGGCCAGAGGGGAGGCGAGAGCGCTGAGGATGGATGGGCCGAAGACTCAGGGGACAGAGGGAGGTCACAGGCAGGGACAGGCCACGAGTCCCGGAGGAGAGCACGGGCCCTGAAGTCCAGCAGGCCTGTGTGAATCGCAGCCCTCACACTTCCCAGCTGTGTGATGCAGGAGAGGCCCTTCGGTTCTCAGTTTTTCTCATCTGTACAATGGGCTCAGGGTCCTGAGGGAGAAGTGGGGGTACCAGGCTCCTGGGAGACCCCTGTTACGTGCATGTTGAACTTGAAACTGGCAGGAAGGGCAGAGGGAGCCGAGGAGGAGGCTGAAGGCGAGAGAGCGCGACAGGCAGGGGGGAAAGCTTGGGGGATGGGTAATTAGAACGTTTGAACTTTAGAAAAGTTAATTAATGATGAAGCTGTGCTGGAGCGCTGCTCAGGCTAGAAGGGGCCCTGGCAGCGACTGAAATTAATTACAGGCTGTGGCGGGAGAATGGCAGCGGGATGGGGCGGGCAGGAAGGAGCAGGGCTGGGGCAAGGAGGGTCTGAGCGGAGGAGGAGGGAAGGCAGCATCCCAAGGTAAGCCAGGACCCCCGGGATGGGAGGGAGGCTGTTACCAAGGAAACCAAGTCAGTTTCCCATCAGGCAAGAGGTGCTCAGCGCCCCTTGGGTGGGATCCGGCTGAGGGTCAGACTGGTGTGGCTGCCTCCAAGCTCGGAGCAAGGCTGGGAAATTGAGGAGTGAGCGGAGACACTGAAGGATCACAGGGTGTCCGCGTGGGCAGGGCCCAGAGGGATTTACTTATTTATGCAACAGACATTCACTAGGTGCCCGTCACTGTCAGCTGAACGCCAAACCCTGTCCCTGGGGTGTAGGCCCCGCCCAGGGCTGGGTGAAGGATGCTCCCTATGCCCTTGGCCACAGGAGGCTTACTGCCTGGGCTGGGCCCCACCTTGCTGGGCGCAGGGGCCCGGGAGAGGTGGCGGGGAGGGAGGCAGTGACAGTCAGAGGGAGGTGGTCAGAGGAGGAGATGCCCGGATAGTTCAGAGATGGCTGCCAGCCAGGCCTAGGGGCCTCCTCCTTCCT